TACTAATCGTAGAAGTATTATTAGTAGTACTAGTCGTAGTAGTATTAGTACTAGTGGTAGTAGCAGTAGAACTTGTAATAGTGGTGATAGTAGTAGTAACATTAGTATTAGTAGTAGAGGTAGAATCAGTAACTTCTCACTTAGTAAAACTTCATGGCATGGATGTTATCGATAAACAGGAGTCTAATTCCTTGAAACCCATGGGATCTGAGTTTCCAAACGTTTATGGATTACCGAAGATTCATAAGGTTGATAATCCATTGCGTCCAAATTTATCAATGTGTCACTCTCCTACACTTAAACTAGTAAAATGGTTAGCTGATGTTTTAAGTCCTGTAAGCAATGAATTATGTAAGTTTACTTTGAAAGATACACTTGAACTTGTTGACTCTCTAGCAGATATTAACATAAAAGATAGGAGAATGTATTCATTTGATGTTAATTCTTTGTTTACCAATTTACCATAGATTAAGACTGCTGATGTTTTTGTGATTATATATCTTCCAGTTGTTTTTCATTCCCTGTGCCCTTAACTTATTTGAAAGATTTATTACTATTATGTACTGTCAATGTCTATTTCACATTTGAAGGTGAACATTTTCGACAAGTGGATGGTGTTGTTATGAGGAGTCCATTAGGACCTTCGTTACAGGACGTTTACATGTAGTATGTTGAGAACTTGTCCCTTGATTTAATTTCTAAATTCACCTTCTATAGGAGATATGTTAGATGATATCATTTTGATATGTGACAATCATGAAGATGCGAGTCGTCTATTAGATAAACTTAACTCTGTACAGAATCATATAAGTCTTACATGCGAAGAAGAAAGTCGTAACCAGTTTGCATCTTTAGACATACTTCTGAGCCGAAGAGAGGATGGTTCGATAAGACGATCAATTTACAGGAAGCCCACTTGGATAAGGCAATACCTTAATTTTCACAGTTTCTGTCCATTACATTATAAGCGAGGATTGGTGAAATGTTTATTTAAGAGGATTCAAAGTATTTGCACAGCTGATGTTATAGAGAAAGAAAATGAAATATTGGTGAATACTCTTGTTGAAAACAGGGATATCCTTTGCAATTTTTAAACAGATGTAGAAGTCAATAAGTCTTTAAACCTACAATCTATACCGCCCCTAAGGAAAATGTTTTCATCAAATTACCATATAGCGGTAAAATAAACAGTAGCATTTGGAGACAAAGGTTGAATTCGGTCATCCGTAGAGCCTATTATGCAGCTCGGCTTGTAATTATCGAAAAAGCCAAGAATACACTCCACTGCAAACCTTAAAAGTGCACAAGTGATTATGTCACATCCCACACCATTTGCCATTTTTCGTGTGTGTGTGTGTGGAAACACATACGTAGGGAGGAGTAATCGTGCTTTGCATGTGAGGGTGGGAGAGCATATTCCGAAATGGTTAGAAAAACAAATGAATTGTGGGAAACCAATAGACGCAGGTGACAGACCACCAACTTCGTCTATAGCCAAACATCTAATCGAGATGAACCATACGATTGATGTTGATACAGCCTTTAAGGTTATCTATAAAAATGGTCAAGGGCGCATTACTGAAATACACTGAGTCTATAGCTATTCATAAACTTAAGTCTCCACATGTGTATTCAAAAACAGTTTATTATTACTCTTAACCTAACTTGGTAATCCTTATTTGATTGGCTTACCAAACGTTGTGTTTTGATTCTTAAATTCTTTTTTTGTCACTTCCTTTAATTTAATTACCCTTAGTTTCCTTCATATATATCGACTTGATAAGTAAATGTGTTAGGGATCAGATTGTTCGAAATGTATGCCTCAAATACATGGCATCCAAATAGATAATAAGCCAAAAATACCCTGCTTTGATGACTGTCAGGTCAAATACATAGGTCAAAGTAGTGGAACAGGTGCAGTTAGACTAGCCGAGCATTAAAACCTAGCAGTAAAATCTAGATTAGTTAACCCAAATAAGATATTGGTAAATATGGAGAATAGTTCAGCTATACCATTCACTACATGCAATTACACACAACCATACAATATAAGATGACAGTTTTAAAATCTAATGTAATAGGGTGGGTGGCGGGTGAGATTGATAACGGAAGCTTGGTTTATCGAATCAACTGAGAGGGAATATGTGTAATAAGAATGATTCAAAACCTATCCCAGATATCTGGAAAATTCTACTACCCCTACGACGACAAATAGGAGAGGACAAAGAAAACTATAAAACTCAAGTTTCAAAGTTGTGTGATTGTAATTGATGAAATGATTATGAAGAATAAATTGTGTTCAAAACTCTGTCATCCAGTAAGTAATACTGTTTCACTGTGTGATATATCCATCTAATAAACAAACTAATATGGAACCATAAGCTCATTATCTGGCATACTGGTACACTAGGGCATTCTGTTTAGAAACTAGGCCTTTTAACAACACTTCACTAGACAAAACTCAAACAGCGTTTTCTAACTCTTTTACACTTTCCGAGTCACTATAATCTGTTTTAAACTTCATACTAAAGAATTTCAGAATAGTAAGATCCCCTCCAATTCTTTTTTGATATGGAAGGTATTTTCACGTATGTAGTTGTCAAGTAGACCTAATTTAGTCTTGATTTCTCCCACCCAGCATTACAGGAGTCAGCATTTATGTTCAAGCTGCTTACAATAGGTGAACTGTTGATAGAAGAGCTCGAGCTAATTTCTAAATTACTAGTATTCCTACAAACACGTTTTGTTTTATTTTTAGTTTTGGCGCATTATTATGAAAGATTTTGTTAACAGTAAGCAATAAAAATGTCGTCTGATAACATCAGAAATTCGTTTGTACACCTTATCTAATTCTAATTTCGACAATCTTTGCATCAAGTTAGGTATATAAGGCAGCAGATAGCGCTGCCTCAATTGCTTATTCAAGCATATTAAGAATATTTTGGGTTAACTTGTGTCCCAATTCAGGAGTTTGATTACTCTTCTGTGTGCAAACATTATATATAAGTCAATAACCTCAATAGAACTCTAGACGAAAGTGTGAAAAAGACAAGTTTGTGCATACTATGGGAGTAGACTAGTTCTGAAGGCGTAGGCTGCATTGACCATAGAGATCTTTCAATTATTTTTATATAATACCCTACATCATTCTCATATTATGTCACCCACATCCCTAACTGTTTCACCCCATTTTTTTGTTGTATGTTCATTGGTTCACTCTGTCTTACATATAATCCCATCAACGCACAGGAAGGAGTACGCTGCACTGACCGATGAGACTCTAGAAGATCTGGATTTCACAAGTGACATATGTTTAATGTCACACAAACTCGAGGACTTACAGGCGAAAATCAACAAAGTGGCTGGAGAAGCTGGGAGTGAAGACAGGACTCCAGGTGAACATAGAGAAGACTGAGGTGATGAAGATCGCCAACTAACAACGACAGCAACAACAAGGAGCACCAATCACCATCAACGGGAGGGATTTAACAGAGGTGACTTCCTTCACTTATCTAGGCAGCCAGCATTGTTTCAACTACAGGCGTTCGGAACGGATGAAGATGTCAAAGTCAGCCAGCTAGCCAGTCAGAATCGGAAAGACAAGCAACATACGCCTTCATCAATCTGAAACCAGTTTGGAGATGTCCTGCTTCACTCCGTCCCAGCAGAAGGAACAAGATTCGGATTCTGTCCAACACCAATGTCAAGTCGGTCAGTCAGTGCTTCTATACGAGTCAGAAACTTGCACTGCATGTGTGTCACGATAAGGATTTCCAACAGCCAGTTGCAGAGTTTTATCAACAGCTGCCCCTTCACTTTCTGGTTCCATACCGAAGATCAAATGGCCAGCTGGCGGGTCAGAAAGAATTAGTAACAAGAAACTCAGTAGTGGAACAAACCAACAGGCGAGAGCCGACCACTCAACATATATGTAGGCGATAATGGAGATGGACTGATCTGGCATACATTGAGGATACCGTCGAATGATATCGCTGGCAATGCAGGCCATTGCTCGAGTGGAATTCAAATAAGTCGTCCTAGGGTGACACGGAGCTCATCATGTGAGTTGGAGATGAAAGATTATGCGCGATCGTGGACCCAGCTGAATAGGATGGCAGAAAATAAAAGAAAGTGGAGATGCGTTATTGAAGCCCTATGTTTCACTCGGAACCCAAGGGAATAATAAAACAAAGATTGTAATCAATCCATGAAGTTTGTGACTCTAGGGAGGTATGTAGACAACCTGGTTGGGGTTCTCGAAATTCTAACGATCAGTGACAGGGAACTATCAGTGATCTGGTTGAAAACTGTTGTTAATGGCAAAAATGCATTTATTCTTTGTGATCCACGTGTCAACTAATCCCTGTGTTGTGTTTTCAAGTTACTATACTTTCTGCGTCATATTTCTGCTTTATTATCGTTTTTCTGAATTTATCTCTTCGTCTATCTCTGTATGGCAACTGGAACTGGTGCACTTTTGGAGCAAAGTTCTATGCTGAATCTCACTCGGTCAGTTATTCATCCTATTCAACCTTTCAATATCATCACTAAGAAACTCATTACTGTTTAAAGAAAAGAAGTGTTACTTCATCTACATCCTTAGTTACAAATTTAACCTCATTAGAATTCATTATAGAGAGAGAGAGATGTCATTATTTAATTCATGGAAAATCCTAATTGTAACATATAAGAAATCAAATCACGGATTGATATCAGTTAGACAAGAATTGAAAACCACGGAGTACTACTAGACAGCTGCATCGTCAGCCCCCCTAGTTTGCGAATCATCGGCAGCACGCACCCACCACTACAGGGGGTCGGAACCCAAAACCTTCCGGTTACAAGGCAAGCTAGCTCGTATGCTCGTATTCAGTCACTCACTGGGACCTGTATTCACTGACCAGTCCATGAATTATAATTTCCTAAAGCAATTCACTAGCAATCATCAAATTTGTTTTTACGAGTTGATCACAGATTGATAACTCAGTTAGAGAAACATTGACAACCAGCTGGGGGTGGGGGAGTACTGCTAGACAGCTATTGCATCCTCGGAAAAAACAAATCTAATCCTTAGAAAACAAACTCTTGAAAATAAATTCATTGTTGAGAAAAGTTTCTTTGCTGACTGAATTACCACTTGTTTTAATTTTCTAGATGTCATTTTATATGTTATTATTACTCTTCTTCTATATTCACCAAAGAATCTATTAGGGTTCTCAATTCTAATCCTGTATATTAATTATTATGATGCAGTTATAATATGTAAAGATTCTACAGGAATAACTTCTGTACAGGTTATGTATGTATGTATGTATGTACGTGGGCATATATGAAATCACTCCATCGAGCATGGGATATTATCATTTGAAGATTGACGCTGATCTGTCTGTATCACTTTTAACAGATATTATCCACCGTCATCATAATCGTCTTCATTCTGATGATCTATCCACAGTGTCTAATTCTGTTGAATTTTCTTCAATGGAATTGTCTACTTCGTTGACAGATACATTTCTGTCATTTTGAGCAGCAGCAGCAGAAGAAGAAGATAACCGTGATGATGTTGTTGATGCTCTAGTTGTGGTTGTCGCTGCAGGAGTAGCAATTTGTAAGTGAAATCGATTCATGATATGATCACTATTATTATTATGATGAGAAACAAGTCGATGCAATTCCCATTCACCAAGAAGAAGACTCGGTAATTCATAATGATGAAAGAAGTATATAATAGAATGCAGGATAAACAACCAAGAGACCATAAGAGCAACTCCACTAAATTGACCATTGAAACGATAATGGTAGGCATAAAATCCAAAATGATACATGTAGAAGAATCTGAAACATAAGATATACACGAATATATATATATATATATATATATATATATATATATATACATAACACTACAAATTCTCCAAGATACCCAAATATATTTGAATAAAGAAAAACCATTTAGTTAGGGAAACTGCCAGACAGCTGCTTTCTCCGTCCTCATTAGGGTTCGAACCCAGGACCACCTTCTGGTTACAAGGCAAGCGAGCTAGCTCGTAGACAATTAATTCAGTCAGTCACTCACTTCACTCAATGGGACCCGATCCAATGGCCAGCCAACCAGTTCAGGAATTCTAACTTCTACCATCGACTCACGCACGACATCGGTCGCAATGTCTTCTTTGATTAATTTGCTGTCCCCTACACTGGTCACGGCTTCCCACTAGAATCCAAGGTGTAACTACCTCTACCTGAATGAATAGGGCCAGTAGTCACTAGTGAGCATCAGATCAATATTCAAGTATTGGGAACTGATGTCAGTGCTTATGATGAAATCCTCGAACCAATCAAATAAAATCACTACAAAACCAGTACTTGAAAAACCACTGTTAATTGAATAGAAAATTTGTTAGTAAGTTAAAAAATGTGTCCTAGGGGTATGCGCTGATGCTGATGATACTTCTATTGTTCCTTTTTGCAGAAACTATGAACAATCTATGTGTCTATCAGGCATTCAGTAAACTTCATACTTCGTTAACTTCTTTTTAAATTGCCTGACTGACTGGTGTCACAGTAGAAATTTACACAGATGCGCAGCAGTTCGAGTCGCCACACTTCACTTAGCGCACAAAGCAAGAGTAGTAAAAGAAATGCAAAACAGAGAGAGAGAGAGATAATAAACAGAATTCTGAAGCAAAAGGAATAGTAATATAGAAGAACAATATAGTTTTATTGGATATTATAAGTTACAATGAGTGGATGCATCTGCGCCAGCCAGCCATCACCGAGAATGATCACTTTGAACCAGCCAGCCATATCATCAATTGTCTCCAGCCTTCATTGCTTTTTACCGTCCCAAGGACACCAACCAGACAGTCAGGAAGTCTACATATCCTGATGTGGCTGGCTGGCTTAAACTAGCTGTTGTGGATTTTATCGACCGATGAAGCCATCTTTTGGTTCTACCAGCACTGGCTAGCTCTTTTCCAACCTGATGCATCCGCCCTATGTCAGCTAACATTGCCCATTGTCGAGGAAGGCGATGGCTAGTCTTGCATGCGTAACACGTGCCCTAACCATCTCTCTCAATCGATGTAACTTCACAGCCTTGTCTATTGATTTCCCTTCCCCACTTAGCACTTGACCGAAGTCTAACCTCAATATTCCTCACCCTTTTACACCACCACCTGACACGGGAGATAGAACACTGGCACCTATGATCAAAGACAGCTAGCTAGTCAGTCTTTTCATGTCTTCCACTTTCAATGGCCAGGTCTCACAGCCAGCCATCCACAAAGGAGGACTACTGAGCAGTGCACACGCTCTTTGGTCGATAGCCGGATATCACGTCTACTAAACAAGAGACGAAGTAAACTGGCATATGCGAGACTGGCCTTCTGTATCCGTGCTGGGATTTCGTCAGCCATCAACCCGCTGGCGTTGGTCGGTGAAACTTCACCAAATAAGTCAAGTGGTCAACACGCTCTACCACTTCACTCCTGCCTATCTTTAAGCTAGGAGTCAATGTAGTCCAGTTCAGTCCTGTAGCCTCATCATCTTACATTTGACAGCAGGAGGGAATCGCATGCCAAACATTCGCAGATTACAGCTGAAGGTGTTCAGAAGACTCAGCTGAATTTTGTCAGCGTCCTCACCTAGAAGGACTGCATCACCTGCATATTCTAAGTCGAGATTATGCCCTGGTCATATCAAATAAATCCCTGAGTCCCTTAAGTCAGTTAGGGTTAATTCCATTAGTACATGAATGATGAAATTAAATAGGCTGCATAGTTAAGAGGAAACAAATGTGAATGCTATATATATATATATATATATATATATATATATATATATATATATATATACATGTACATATATATAGGCTTCAGATCATCACACCCAAATCAGCGCAAAAGTATCAGTTGTGTCTCTCAAGGCTTCTTTGACTGCCACACTTCTTTGATGATAACGGATGCGAAAGAAAAAGAGGCAATGTCAAACATGACTGAAATTCTCAAGAAAAATAACTAATAAATAACCAACAAAATCAACACCGACATTAAATATAGTCGAAAATGTATTCCGAAGACATGGATGGACCTCAACAGTTGTCATTCCATATAGTTCAGATACGTCAGTTGATAGATATCAGAAGAGTGCTCAATAAACACGACATAAGACACACTACAAAGCAACCTTGTCCATATAAAAGACTAAATCCCTAAGAATTCTCTTATTATGTCTATAAAATAAAATGCTTGGAATGCGATGCGATATGCTTGCGACAAACATCGCCAAAGACTAGTCAGAAACAGAAGAAATGAACACCATAGAGTATCTTTTCGACCACCAAGAAGTAAATCCAGTTGAACTAGAAAAGCTTGAGAAATAATCAGCTATACGTCGTTTACACGCTATGGAATCAGGCCACGAAATTGATTTCGACAATATTGAAATCATCACATCCAGAAATAGTTTCAGAAATCACAAAGAACGTCTCATATCATCAGAAGCACTTCATATCACCAAATGGAATGCAAATTGCCTCAACTGAACAGGAATGATTGACTAAAACAGATGTTGACCTGATTACAACACAATACACCCGATTTCTCGCATTAAATGACAAAATCAACAACACAATTGTGATAAGCAATTTCACTATGCAAACAAATGCTGTTTCGTATAATTTTATACGCTTATAAATTCCAACAATCTACACCTGGTTCTGTTATCCTTATCAGTTAGCCAACTTGACAACATAAAAAGTTATGTCATGCTGAACAATGAAAAGCTGATATTTGGTAAATTATTCTAGTTTAATAATACTTTGATAAAGTAGTTATCAGCAGCATTAAACGTCAGTAAAAACGAGAATATCGTTTAGCTTTTCACTCATTGGAAACTGCAAACAACCTTTTATAATACTACAATGTATACAGCCTACACTGCTACTACTACTACTCACTTAGGAATGAAGTGGAGCTTATTGATGTGAGACTACTCATTAACTAGGCGGCAGTGTATGAAGACAATGCACTCACGGAATGAGATACACTCCAAAGATGGCTAGGACATTATACACATTCTTACGAGAAGTCCAGTAAACCCTGTTAAAACAGCACGGGTGTACACTGGGTTGCTAATATATTCTGACAAGAATTAGTTAAATGACGAGTGTGTTGGTGGCACAGCGGTAGAATGCTCGCCAACCAAGCAGGCGGTTTGGGGTTCGATCCTCAGCCGACGCACTACTTTACCTAGCACTAAGTCAGTAACAATAAGACTGCTAAAGAGGGAAGGTTGGGGGGGGGATGTGGCTAGCAGCAACCCCATCCCGTAAAAATCAATACCACTGATACCGAAACTTCAAGTTTCTACCTTGAAGACACCCCATGTTCCACACTGGGAACGTAAAGGAATAAATACAAAAAGAAGTAAACGACAATGTCAGGTAAGGGTGGGTTATCCAAAAAAACGAAAAGACAGATATCAGAGATAGTGAAAGATTTATTGACTAACCTTGGCCAATATTTTCTGCTTAGTCCAGTACGACAAAACACCGCTTCGTATTGATCAGCAACACTAACAATTACAATGACATAAAAGGCTGTGATGGAATCCCCGAAAAATTCCGACATTATAGTTTCCATAGCTGAAAATTATATACAAACAATATAGATATATATTACACCCATATTATCCTTTGATTATCAAGCAAGTAATTATGACGATTAAAAATCCTTAGTCTGACTACAGATAATACACAGCAGCATTATACGAATGTATTATTATTATTGTTTACTTTAGTTCCTAGAGGAACATAGGGCTTCAGCCACACGTCTCTACTGCGTCCATGGTTCTCCACCAACATTTCCTCATCTAGCTTCACGCCTGCTCACATGCGTTCATCTCCTCTTCACATCACCGCCTCCATGTCAACATCGCGCACTGACGACCAACTAACTCACCGCTTCCCTCCCATTCACCTCCTACTCGAGAGAGAGAGAGCCTGGAGTGTGATGTCACACACTTGATGGCTTGTTGTCTCAAAGTGTGGTCACAATCCAATCCATTTCCATTTCTTCTAGCATATTTGTTGCACAATTGGCTCATACACGAATGTATATGAACTACAAGATAACCAAAATGGTTATTGATTAAGCCATTCAAAAATAAAAAATCACTTTGTACAGTGGGGTAGAAATGATTAGTTGATCTGTCTTTATCTGGCTAATATAAGTTGATATTTGCAAGTATGATTATTCCCTTGGGTTCCACGGGGAACAAAGAGCTTCAATAGCACGTCTCCTTTATGTCCTGGTCTCTGTAATTCTCTTGAGGTGGACCAACGACTGCCTATATCCTTTCATCAGCTTACTAAGATGATCTCCATCTCACCCTCGGGCCAGGCCCAACTTGTCTTTTCCCATCCGTGTTCCATTAGAGTGATGGCCAGGAGCGCGATATCACCCAACGGTCTCCCTAGCATGTGTCTGATCTACCGCCATGCTCTTCTGCATAAATAATGGGCACTAGGTTCTTCGTTGGTTCGTTCTCAGAACTTCTTGTTGGTAATCCTTTCTGAAGGGAGCTAGCAAAGTCAGCTGTTGATAAAAGTCTGAAACCTAACGGATACGCTGTCGTTGACACACAGCCGAACTGACTAACAGTGGTGTTGAAAATCCGATTTTTGTTGATTATAATGAGTGCAGAAAATTTAACAACTGAATTCAGAGTGATGAATGTCTCATCTGGCTGTCCAGATCCCGCAGGCTTTGACAGCGTGCGACCGCATGTAATTGAAACGATGCTTCCTAGATAGGTAACGGAAGCAGCTCCTTCCAAATCCTTTCCGCTGATAGTCATCAGATCCACTTCTGTGAAGTGTCGTTATCAAATTTCTCATCTCTATGTTCACTTCACAAGTGCATTGACTGACTCAGTACCATCCCTCCTAACCTAACACTTAACGCCTAATCTCAATGTCACGCAACTTATTATACCACATATTACATGGAACGTAGAATGACAACATCTGTGTTCAAAAGACAGCTATCCTTTCCATCAAATCTTCAACTCTCAATGACCATTTCTCCCAGCCACGGGATATAAAAAGCACCTGTGATGTAGCGGCTTTTGTCTTTGTCTTAAAACGGGTATTTCAAATACTCAGTTTAATTGTCTCCCTTTGTCATTCCCCGTCTTATGTGATTTGGAAGTTCAAGCTGACACAACTAATTGTATGAGTCGTTGAGCAAAGACATAGGCGGAGATATTCATGAAAAAATGTCTACATACGTATATTTGTTACTAGAATGTGTTCTATGTACTGACGTCATGATTTCAAGATCAAAGTGTTTCAGATTTTTAAATTAGTAGTAGTTGACTTTCTGGTTTTATCCACTGATTGCATATTCTTGCATAAATTGAAAACAAAAACACACACTAAAAAGTTGACTTTTTTTCCATTGCTATGTGAAGACATCATCCCCAAGACTAAGTGAGTGTGCTTCCCAGTTGTCTACGGTGGAACAGACACACTGCACATTTATTGACTGTGTTATACATCTTAAGACCGACCCATCAACATGTAGAGAAGACCGCTACAGAATGTCACACATATAACACCGAGTTCTAGGTGGTATTCAATTATCGACGATGTGTTCCGCATATGATTGCCTTTTCCTGCCTGAAAGGTGTTCATGACTTAGTTTGCATCTCTCAGTCTCTTGAGGATGACAACACGATATAGTATTTCACTAGGCGTGAACGGAAGCATGATTCGGCAGCAGTTTTCATAAATTCCCAACTAACGTTCCTTTGGTAGGTAGGTAGGTAGGTACTTACTTACTTTTTCTTCCCTCCGAACATCTCACAATAGTAGCGTGAGGATATCTTCTCAGGTGGTCTGCATCCGTTTTCAGTGGCTGAAGAGGAAGTCCATCTGCTCCTGCTACCTTTCCAGCTTTCAGTAGACTCTCAATAAGACCTTACAAAAGTCACTTGAACAAGAGAACATCTGAGGCTGCATCTGCTCAAGTAGGCTGCGTCTATGCTTTCTTGAGATCACGATGTAGTCCGTCTGGTTTTTGGTGTGCCCGTCAGGTGTAATCCATGCCACATTGTGTATATCCTTGTGTTTGTGCAAACGATATCCAATCACCAAATCACTGAATGCACGAAAGTCTGTGAAGAGTTCTCTGTTCTTATTGATTTCACCAACAACCTTCTGACCCATATTCAGTTCTCTCCACCCCACACCACGACCAAGCACTTGACTTTCAGCTGATGGTTCCCTGGTCTAAATACCGCTCGTCCTACTTCAACCTGAACTACTGGGAAGTATCATCAGCCCTCACATCATAATAAGTAGGCTCATAGCCTAAAAGAGGAACGACCGGTTCTAGCCACTGAGTCAAATATATATAAATATATATTTATAGATATATACATTACTGTGTGCAGTTGTGTCTCGGTAGAACTCTTCCTTCTTTTCTTCCATCGCGGTGTTTGTAGACGTGGAGCACTGGCTGTTTGTAACTTCCCTTCCTTTCGAGTAGAATCGATGTTATTGTCTTGAAGAACAATGGTTTCTATACACTGCATAAGAGCTTTGGATGTTGTTGGTAACACTGTGATAGCTGCTACTTGCTTGCTATATACCTGTTGTCGTTGTCTGGCTGACCAGATCAGATTGATTTTCGACTTTCCACTTAACTGTTTTGGAGTGCCCCCCACCTGGTTTCACAGATTCCTATCACTTCTAATGCCATATGTCTTTTGGATTTCGAGCAGCCTTTACGCCTTCGGCCATCACCGTATACCCATCCTGATTTCCTCTTTCAACAAAACAACATACTTCACTGACCAGCTTCCTGAAGACTTTCACCATCCCACTTCATTTCGTTTCTCTGGTTCCAGCGTAGAATAGGTTTAGAGATATCACTTCCACTCTATACAACTATGCTGTATAGTTTTACGATTTAATCGGCCATGAATTCTAACTTCTGCCAATTCACGACATAGCGCGAACCCTAGCCAATGTCTTTTGTCCTCACACCCGATCTGCTGCACCTTACTGGTCACGACTTCTAACTAGAACCCCAGGTAACTACCTACCGGAATAGGGCAAGTCGCTAGGGAGCACCTCATTGATACTTTTTTATTTAACTAGCAGCACATTACAGCCCTACTTATTGTGGTGGTGTGATACAGACGATGTGTTCCAACGGAATATGATTCTCACTGATTCCTACACTTCAATTCGGCATCAGCAACAGAATATGATATATCTATTTGCAGATTCTAATTGTTGCTAGAGTCAGAATATTATTCTCATAGTGCAATAAATACTGCATTAGCAACACAACACTCTATTTGTGTATATTTGAACATTCTATTTCACGTCATTTAATGTAAACCAAAATCACACGCTCAGGGATTGGTTAACGCATACAAACTATATATATATATATATATATATATATATATATATATATATATATATATACAGCGGTTTGATTAATGTCGTGCCTTTGGCTGTTACATTACTACCTCACTAGTACAATTAGGATGTACTATATTTTATGAAAAGCTACATAAAATTAGAGTAGAGCAGTTGACGGGGGACTAAATTGATAAAAGAGAGATAATATTTCTAACCTCAGCTTGTTGTTGATGCAAGTGTAGGACTTGGGCACTGTGGTGGTAGAATGTGTCAACTCCATCTTAGATAAGTTTATTTTAATAAGCACACAGAGTGATGACGCAGTATTAACAACTGGATGACAAGGTTTCGAGCACAGTTTTAATTACTCAAAATCATCTATTCTGTCTGTGCTTTACAACTTCCCCCTGTTATTTGTTGCCGCTTTCCATATCTCTGGTATAGGCGGCGGCGTTGCGTCATTCCGATTGCTGCTCGTGTGCGGTGTTGAATTGATGAACGAAGCTTCAGTGATTAACTTCGCTCTGTCTCTCTACCTAACTAGATAACTATTTTCATTCTCTGAACCTGTTCCACCCACCCTATTGGGTGTGTGATCACATGCAAGTGAATGTAGTGCAATGGCTGAGCTCCGTCTTTTTTCTAGGTTATTTAACTTACTTAGCAGGGTCAATTATTCTACGTCCAGACACATTTTCATGTACCACTAATCTAGTTGACTCTGATCTACTGCTACTTTGACTGTCCTATGTAATTGACCCAGCATTACATGGTACTTGGTAAATTATATTATTTTTCGTAATTGGATCTTGAAATAATAGAGAAGATTTGTAGCTCAAATGGATGATTTGCAATTAATAGTGTTCTCTGAGCTGGTTGGTTTAGTTGCAAAGCTTTCGTCGTCCTTCTGGACAACATCTTCAGCGCAATATTTAGCACAAAGTGAAATGATTTAAATTTCTTCATGAGTGATATAATTGCGTCTCCTGGTAACTATCTTTACATATGTATTGACCACTTTCTATTGACTTGGATTTTAAACTTTCTGGTCACCTGATGTACTTTTTATTAGTTGGTATATTTCGTCTATATTAACGTGTTTGTTAATTGCATTTTCGTTTGAGTACCAGGCTTCTAGGAATTCCCTGGCACTTCTGGTGTTTCCTCTGTCTAAGATTCTGACATTATCCCAATCAAATTGATGACCATAGTTGTCTGTATGCATTGATACTAACGAATACATATCATGTCTTTTCACGGCTGATTTATGTTCTTGGATTCTGATTCGGAGGGGACGCCCACTTTGGCCGATGTAATGCTTGTTACAGTTAATACAATTTATTTTGTAAATGGTATTAATTTTATCCCCTTTTTCTGTATGAACTGCAACAAACATTACATCGGCCAAAGTGGGCGTCCCCTTCGAATCAGACTCCAAGAATATAAATCAGCCGTGAAAAGACATGATATGTATTCTTAGTATCAATGCATACAGACAATTATGGTCATCAATTTGATTGGGATAATGTCAAAATCTCAGACAGAGGAAACACGAAAAGTGCCAGGGAATTCCTAGAACCCCGGTACTCAAACGAAAATGCAATTAACAAGCACCGTAATATAGACGAAATATACCAACTAATAAAAAGTAAATCAGGTGACCAGAAAGTTTAAAATCCAAGTCAATAGAAAGTGGTCAATACATATGTAAAGATAGTTACCAGGAGACGCAATTATATCACTCATGAAGAAATTTAAATCATTTCACTTTGTGCTAAATATTGCGCTGAAGATGTTGTCCAGAAGGACGACGAAAGCTTTGCAACTAAACCAACCAGCTCAGAGAACACTATTAATTGTAATTGGATCTATTGGGTCGTTAAGCCGATAAAGTTTACCTTTGAGACAGTTGTTTGGTTTAAATGCCATACTAATTTCAGCGGGATATGCAATCACATGATATCTGCTTTGTTTGATAATCTGATATGGTTTGCCATACTACGTCTATTGATCGTTACTCCGTGATCACTTACAATCCGTCTTGTCATTCTATCAACTAAATGACATTGAATGACCTTTGTCACATGACATTGCAGCCTATTAGAATCCAGTTAGGAGTAAGAAAAACTACTTTATTCACTTTATTGGTTCATATATTTTAGTTATTTTCATATACTCTACTGTGCTGTACTACAACTGATTGAAACTTTTCCATACACACTCTTGTGTGACAGTTAATCTCTCCTTGTTGGAATAATACACGTATCCTTTGTCAACGTTTGGTTGTCTTCTAAGTTTACTCTTTGGGACAGGGAAATTTAACCACTAAGCGATACCGTGTCGTTCCGCTGCCATCGTCCGTTGTATCACGTTAGGCATATTTATACTCGGTCACGGCGTCATTAGGAATTCTACGTACAAGTTTAAAATGAAAATATCCAATTTACTGAATTCAATTATGCACAAAGGAATCTTGCCTACAGTTATGTTACAAAAATAAAATAACTTGGAAAAATTAACACAGTGAGACGATAACCTACCAACAAGAGCCAAAATAACCGTCAGAAAAGATGCGACAGGAATTCTAAACGGTACGTTTGTTTCAAACATTTGCAGGACATCAGCTGAAAAGTATCAGATATTAAGAGAAAATTTAAAGCGGGAAATAGTAAGAAGGAAAAAAAAATCGGTTATTATGATTACTATTAATCACAATAATCATCAGAAGGATACCACAGTAATCAAGATCAAAATGCAGATTCTTCATACATTACTTCGACACATAAAGGGATTATTATGATTATAATAATTCCCCTGGGTTCCGAGTGGATGGCTTCAACAACACAACTCCACTTTCTTCTATTTTCTGCTGTCCTCTTCAGCTGACTGGATCCATCACCACCATAATCTTTTATTTCTTCCTCCTCTTCAAGACACCATCTCCAACATGTCATCAACGACACACTCGTCGCTTCCCATTTGGATTCCACTCGAAAGATGGATGGCCCCCATTGAGTACGATATCACTCGACGATCTCCTCAATGTATGCCCGATCAGTCCATCTCCATTATCGCCTACATGTATGTTAAATGATCGGCTCTTGCTCGGTTGGTTTGTTCTCAGACAGAGTTTCTTCTTACTAATTCTATCTGGCCACCCAACCGGCCATTTGATCTTCAGTATGGAGCCAGAAAGCGAAGGGGGCACCAGTTGATAAAAGTCCTTGACTTGTTGGAAGTCCTCCTCGTGACAAACATGCAGTGCAAGTTTCTGATCAATATAGAAGCACTGACTGACCGACTTGACATTTATGTTGAAAATCCGAATTCTGCTCCGTATGCTGAGGTGGAGTGAAGCAGAAGATCTCCAAACGGGTTACAGGTTGATGAAGGAGTGCGTCTCTTGCCTTTCAGATTCTGGCTGGCTGGCTGACTGACTTTGACATCTTCATTAGTTCCGACTGCCTGTGGTTGAAACCATGAAGTAAGTAACCTCTGTCAAGTGTCTTTCGTTGATGGTGATTGGTGCTGGTTGGTTTTACTGTTGGTTAGTTATTTACATCCGTAAGTATTCGAGTTTGTGTAACACTAAACATAAATCGTCAGCAAAATCCAGATCTTCTAGCGTCTCCTTATCAGTCCTGGGAATCGATCTCCTTCAATATCATGACTCAAGTCAAATGGAATGAAGCAACAAAAGAAAGAGAGATTCCAATAATGCAATACTTCGCACCTGCAAACAACTCAGATGTGAGTGGAAGCAATTCTTCACAGAAAAGTGCAAACAAGCAGTAGTAATGGACAAGACTCCAGTCAGATGACAACATCAAATTCTAATTGACGACTTGAATGTGAAACTTAAAGCACAGATAACACGAGAGATGGATGATCAGAAGACGCTGGATGAACTGAATGAGAAGGGGGTAATGCATGCTGTGCAGACTCCTGTTCCCTTAATGACTTGTTGTTGTTGCTGTTTGAAGGTAGCGCGTTTGCTTATCATAAGGCTAAATGAGTTCCACTAGATGCACTTAATAGAAATCGCATACAACACATCTTCTTATTCCCAAAAAAGTGTGTGGAAGCAGATTAATGGAGAGGAGATATCGACACGAGGAGTAGATGTAGGCACAGACCATCCATCACCGTCTAGTGTAGTGTAAGGAAACACGTCGAGCTTACGGTCAAAAAGCTTTGAAGCAGCCACAGACAGACCACAATTCAACTTTGATACTTAAAAAAGTAGACGAAGAAGCTACAAAGAACACCTTCACTCTCTAATCATTAGGAATAAGTTGGAGAATAGATATGAAACATCAGTGAAAACACCTACCACCTCAGAGTGGAATATAATACTGGAGAATACTGTGGAAGCGAAATGGTAGCAAACATACACAAACAACTAAGGCACAAGAAGTTATGACTGAGAACGGACGCCTGACTGCAGTGTAAAAGAGGAGAACAGGATTCCATTATTGTTTAGTTTAATAATAAAAACATCGACTAGTTGAAACAGATAATATGTAACACGCAGCAAACGTAATGAAAAGCCGCCCGTATGTACCGCGGCATCATCCATCCTCCACAGTCATAGTTCTTCTCCTAAAGTTATAATCATAGATCATACATGATGAGTCATCACAGATAGACATCCGATGGATGAAAGAAGAAGGACACAGAAATAGAGAAAGGATGTAATGATGAATCACTTACCAATCCCAACAACCAACTGCTGACTGGAATATCTTAGCAGAGTCGATACACAATACGTCTGAAAATAAAATTGAAATAAGAAAAGTTGATCATGTCTACTGAAATATAATCAAATAGTATAAGAAATCAACAAAAAATATTAATGATCAATACAGAAAGTTCTTTCCTCCTTAAACATTGTTGAGTTTTGAAGCCCTTAGTTATGATGGTGTTAGGCATATACGCATATATTCACTGACAAATTAAGTTAAATACATGAAAGGTACTGTAGAGAGCTCTACAACGAGTGAAGAAGTTTAGGTGTTCACAATTTGTAAAAAAAAGAGAAAGGATAGGCCAACCAGTTAAGAATAAACATCAAACTCAGACGACCAATCTGAGTCTTCTTCCCTGGTGGAAATTGGGATTTATTGCATAGAAAGGTGTATTTATAAGTTATACATAAATATGTTGAATAAAAATGAATTATACAGGGTACATTTATACTTCTAATATGCTGCAAAAGTTGGTCCTACTTTCTTATAGGACCAAGCCAATGTCGATACAAAAATTTATCAGGGAGGAGGCATTTACCATTCGAATAGGTTTTTTTTTGGATGGACCTAGAATCCTTCAATAGAATTTACACAGGTTCCTTGTTATGGGGTCTACCGATTCAGAAGAATGGTTGACTATGTGAGGAATATAGCCTAGTGATGATGATGATAGTTGTTGTATTATTAGTGCTAAAACATAGGAACTTCTGGGTGGGATGCGTTCTATTAACAAACCTTCTCAAAGACTTGTGTCATGCATCCGGAACAGCGCCCTAAAAAAAATGATTTGCTCTTGCTCTTCTATCGCGATTCATTTCTCGTTTAGTAAGTATTGTTTGGTCATTATGAACGATGACACCAATAGTTTACCAAGGGAGAGTTTACATTTCGAGAAGAAAGTATCCAAGCAATCACCATTTCACGTATGACTTACCAAATCTTAAAGACTTCCTCATATAACGGTGGTTACAGTTGAACACATCACAACCGCCGGCAATATTTTTGCAGAGTCACTATCCCACCACTATATATGCATGTTTTAATCCTCCCTATCAACCCATTTGTCACAAAGTAGACGTCAGAAACAGCAAATCTGGTGTGAAAATTACAACGAAGATCACGAGAACAGCATAATCGATTTGTAATGCTGGACTATCTGATTGGTCGGTCGTTTCAAGGTTATACTTGACTTTGGTGTCTGTTGTTTACTTTTGCAAAGGAGAGAAATTGACAGTAGCAATACAATGAATAAATATGTAAGTGGTACGGAAGGTCGCACACCTAGTTTATTACTACCAGCCAGCGGTCGTCCTGGGTGAACCTACGCATCCTGAAAAGTCAACCAACCCAATGGCTACAGGAACTTCAAAGTACAGGGAAAATATCTTTTTTATTCAACAAACCTATTCTACGCTGGAATCAGAAAAACAAAATGAAGTGAGCTGGTGAAAGCCTTCAGGAAGTTGGTCAGCTGAGGTATGTTGTTCAGTCGAAAGAGGAAATTAGGATGGGTATATGGTGATGGCCGAAGGTGTAAACGCTGCTTGAAATCCAAAAGACATGAAAGGATATGGCATTAGAAGTGACAGGAATCTGTGAAACCAGGTGGGGGGCACTCCAAAACAGTTAAGTGGAAAGTCGAAAATCAATCTGATCTGGTCAGCCAGACAACGACAACAGGTATATAGCAAGCAAGTAGCAGCTATCACAGTGTTACCAACAACATCCAAAGCTCTTATGCAGTGGATAGAAACCATTGTTCTTCAAGACAATAACATCGATTCAACCCGAAAGGAAGGGAAGTTACAAACAGCCAGGGCTCCACGTCTACAAACACCGCGATGGAAGAAAAGAAGGAAGAGTTCTACCAATACACAACTGCACACAGTAATGGACATGACTGAAAATATGTATTTGGACTCAGTGGCTAGAACCGGTCGTTCCTCTTTTAGGCTATGAGCCTACTTATTATGATGTGAGGGCTGATGATACTTTCCAGTAGTTCAGGTTGAAGTAGGACGAGCGGTATTTAGACCCGGGACCCATTAGCTGAAAGTCAAGTGCTTGGTGGTGGTGTGGGGTGGAGAGAACTGAATATGGGTCAGAAGGCTGTTGGTGAAATCAATAAGAACAGAGAACTCTTCACAGACTTTCGTGCATTCAGTGATTTGGTGATTGGATATCGTTTGCACAAACACAAGGATATACACAATGTGACATGGATTACACCTGACGGGCACACCAAAAACCAGACGGACTACATCGTAATTTCAAGAAAGCATAGACGCAGCCTGCTTGAGCAGATGCAGCCTCAGATGTCGTCTTGTTCAAGTGACTTTTGTAAGGTCTTATTGAGAGCCTACTGAAAGCTGGAAAGGTAGCAGGAGCAGATGGACTTCCTCTTCAGCCACTGAAAGCGGATGCAGACCACCTGAGAAGATATCCTCACGCTACTATTGTGAGATGTTCCGAGGGAAGAAAAAGTAAGTAAGTACCTATCTACCTACCTACCAAAAGAAGGTAGGTTAGTTGGGAATTTATGAAAACTGCTGCCGTATCATGCTTCCGTTCACGAGAGACTGAGAGATTCAAACTAAGTCATGAACACCTTTTAGGCAGGAAGAGCCAATCATATGCGGAACACATAGTCAAACAGATCATCAAAAGTGGCAGTTAAATCTCCATGTCAACTTCATCCAAACTGAAGATGACTTCGACAGTGTCGTTGACCGTGAAGTAATTCGAAGACAACTCCTAGACGACAGAGTATCACAAGCTTTTATAGGCCTAATGCAACAATTATATGATGATGATGATTTTACGTGGTAAGTGATTCACAATGGAAATCTCAGAGAAGACTCTGAAATGAAGTAAGTAAGGAGTAAGACAAGACGGCCAGCCTACTATGACTGATGATATTCTCCCAATTATGGGGTGGGGTGGACTGGATAATGTGGAACAGCCTGATGCGTAGGGAACGAGAAGACAGGAGTATATGCTGGACCGGTAAAAAGACTGTAGAAGGTCTGGATTTCGCGCTTGGATGATTTATGTCTAATGTCACACGAACTCAAAGGTAAAAACCTACAGGCGAAAACTGGCAACAAACAGGCAGAAGCAGAGGCAAACACAGGACTTCAAGTGAACATGGAGAAGACAGAGGTGATAAAGATACGCGGCAACCAACGACAACAAGCAACGACCTTTATCAACAGCAGCAGAGGCAGAAATTTGAAGGAGATCACCTCACTCTCATTCATTTCGGTAGAATCGTTTCAACTACAGTAGATGGCAGAGATGGGGGATGTCATAGACAGACAATACAGACATTCACTACTAGGCTGAAATCAGTTGCAAATCCGTCCTAATCAATCAGCGTAAGGAAGAAGAATCGGATTTTCAATACTAATGTATATCGAATCAGTGTTTTTATATGGTGTAGAGATTAGTGAGTGTGTCACACAAGAAGCATTTCCAAAAGGCTGTAGACTTGACTTTCGTGAACACTTTCTTTGGTCTCACACTGAAGACGAGATTGTGGGAAAGTAGAAGACAACAGCGAACTGTGGAAGAGAAGCAACCAAGAATCTACTTATTGCCCATAAATTATGCAGAAGAGAATAAGGAAAGGTTGGACATAACGCTGAGCACACGGTTGAGTGAAATACCAAACTAGGATCCTCGAGTGTAGACGGCTGGTTGGGAGTCCGATGGTGAGACGAAGAGGATCGTATGAGGAGATCAGAGCTCATGGTCAACGATTGGAGCTATCTATCTATCTAAAGGGGTCTTCAGACAACAGCGTGAAGTAGAGAGATGTGCTGGTGAAGCGCTGTGTTCCACTCAGTCGATAAACAGGGGGATGATAATATTATTCCTATTTCCACAAGGGAGATGATAATCTGGAGAAGTGAAGACACCCTAATGATAATAAAATCACCAACAGTTCATTCGGCTTTTTCTCCGCATCCACGACGTGTTTCATTTATATCGATAATTGAATACCACCTAGAACTCGGTGTTATAGGTGTGGCATTCTGAAGCTGTCTTCCCTACATGTTGATGGGTTGTTCGTAAGATGTATAACACAGTCAATAAATGTGCAGTGTGTCTGTCCCACCGTAGAATAATAATAATAATTTGCTTTATTCCAAAACACTACTTGTGATACAGAATGGAATTCCCAGCATTTTCACTACAGTATTGCATCCAGTTGGTACATTATCAATAAATAAAATTCTACTTAGATTAAGGAAATCTCAGTTCATCGTGGCAACAACATATTGGCATGCTGGTAGCAAAACCAAAGCTGAACAGTGTTTGAAGGTGTTAGAAAAGTAGGTGCTATCATATTTACTGGCGTAAGCGGAAGAAAGAAACAAAGCAGCACATAACGGGAAAACAAAAAGAGAGAGAGAAAAGGAAAAGAAAGAAAGAAAATGTCGTACCTGTAAATGATATGAGTTGGAAAGACGAGGTCCAGTTGTACTACTGACTATTTAACGGGTTATAGGTGTCACGCCTAATGCTTTCTAAATCGCACAGAACACGAGCTAAGTAGGGTATGGTTGAGTTCCGTCTTCTGCTGTCCTCTTCATCTGACTGGATCCATCACTCACCATAATCTTTTATTTCTTCCTCCTCTTCAAGACACCATCTCCAACATGTCACAAACGACCCACTCGTCTCTTCCCATTTGGATTCCACTCGAAAGATGGATGGCCTGCATTGAGCGCGATGTCACTCGACGATCTCCTCAACGTATGCCCGATCAGTCCATCTCCATTATCGCCTACATGTATGTTAAATGATCGGCTCTTGCTCGGTTGGTTTGTTCTCAGACAGAGTTTCTTCTTACTAATTCTATCTGGCCACCCAACCGGCCATTTGATCTTCAGTATGGAGCCAGAAAGCGAAGGGGGCACCAGTTGATAAAAGTCCTTGACTTGTTGGAAGTCCTCCTCGTGACAAACATGCAGTGCAAGTTTCTGATCAATATAGAAGCACTGACTGACCGACTTGACATTTATGTTGAAAATCCGAATTCTGCTCCGTATGCTGAGGTGGAGTGAAGCAGAAGATCTCCAAACGGGTTACAGGTTGATGAAGGCGTGCGTCTCTTGCCTTTCAGATTCTGGCTGGCTGGCTGGCTGACTTTGACATCCACATTGGTTCCGACTGCCTGTGGTTGAAACCGTGAAGTAAGTAACCCCTGTCAAGTGTCTTTCGTTGATGGTGACTGGTGCTGTTTGTCAGTTATCTTCAGAGCCTCCATCTTCTTTACCTTCTCTTCTCTAAGACAATACCGCCCATTTATGTCTTGTAGATCAAAATATGAAATTTAAAGAAAGTTGTAGAATCTTTCAACACGGTCATCATCAACATCACAGGGTGATTATTTAAAACCAAGAGACATACATACATTAGTTACAAGTATTAGACAGAAGTATGTTTGACCCCAAACCATGATACTAATTTCTTGGATCTTATTCTGATAAACACAATACTACTAGTCGGTTACTGAATGAGTGGGAATATTATGCCACACGGTAATAAGACGAACTTATATATATATATATACATATATATATATATATATATATATATATATATATATATGTATATATATATATATACACACTAGTTACTAGTGTATCTAGTTCTTTGCTAACAAGTGCCAAATAGCACGAAACCTAGGTCAGGCAAGGCTTTTTGTGGCCGATTCCACGAGTACATGTATGGCGAAATTAAGCAGTAATGTTGGACAGTGGACACCTTTGATGGACAATACTGGTTATCATTACTTCAGATGACAACTCTCCATAGGCCCTCACACAACTGTGTGAGCTCGAGTAAAGAGTTTTGATTAGTTACAATGTACTTTTTTGGCACTCGCTACATGGCCAAACATTACGATAGTACCTTTCTATTGACGGAGTCAAGAAATGTGGCAAGTGTTGGATGCTGGTAAGTATGGCTAGTCTCCAGAATCTGTTGAAAGGTGAAAATATGATCAATACGTGCTCTTCCTGCTGCTCTAAAGCCTGTCTAGTTTCCTCACATTTATTACGCTCGAGCTCTGCGTGAGATGAGAACTTTACTTCAGCAATTTTTGGTACCACAATGATGTAAAACTGCGCAGAACCTGAACAACAATAGTGACAATAATAATTGGGCAAAGTTAAACTATCATAGCCAAAACTACAATGACCTTGAGCAACCAATCAGAATTCAGATGTAAAAAAGTCGCATAATCGTTGAAAAATTGACTAAAAAGTATTGGTTGGAGGATTTCATAATGAGCTGACATCAGTTAGAGAACCACTGGAAAACCAACTAAGAGGAATGGACAGCTGTTTTCTCAGTCCAAGTGCTTGGGATTGGCTATTAAGCACTACGCACCCAGCTCATTGGGTTTCGAACCCACGACCTTCTGGTTACAAAGCCACCGGGCTTGCAGTCCATTAAGCCACTCACTGGGACCCGATCCAATGGCCCGCCAACCAGTCCATGAATACTAACTTCTGCCAATTCACGCACAAAATAGCGTGACCACTTCACAATGTCTTCTTCGATGAGTTACTGCCTCACCTTCAACTTGCTGTACCCTGGCACTGGTCACGGCTTCCCCCTAGAACGTCAGGTAACTGCCTAAATAAGGCCTGCCCGGAAGAAACAGCTGTCCAGTACTGCTAAGTTTTACAATGGTTCTGTAATTGATGTCACCTCATGATAAAATCCTCCAACCAATCAAAGAAAATCTCTACAAAACCAATACTTATAAAAAAATATTGCTAACATGATATTACACTGTATAGTTGTAGCCTATGTGTTGTAAAAACATGTCTCCCAGTCAATACACAAACGATCTAGAGAGAAATCGTACCATGCGCGATATATCCATTTATCCAGGTGACTGTAGATCATGGTACTTTGAGATTCATTGGTATTTCTGATACTATTCTTCAACCTACTCCTAACTGTAACTATAATCTTAACTCCTAAACCTAAATTTAACCCTTAACCTAATCTTAACCTTAGATCCTATTTCTCAATTTTAAACGCTATAACACTACCTAACAGCATAGATTTGCAGAAAAAGTGGCTATGAAAGAAGTAGAATACTACGGTATCTATCCTCCCTAAGTTCAAAAAGGCAGTATTCATTTGAATTGGAATGACATTTCATAACATTCCCTTGACTGACTAACTGGTTTCAATGAAGGAATTTTTACCGATGTGCAGCAGTTCGAGTCGTCACACTTCACTCAGCACACACAAAGCAACAGAAGAAAGTGAAAACAAATACAAAACACACACAGTAAACAGAGATATGAGTCAAAAAGAATAAGACTAATATGGAAGAACAATACAGTTTTATCGGATACTATAAGTCACGAGGAGTCGATGCATCTGCACCAGACAGCCATCACCGAGAACAATCACATTCAGCTAGCATTTATCGGTTTTTACTGTCCCGAACACCCGAACCAGCCATTCAGGAAGTCTACGCCTCCCTACGTGGCTGGTAACTGGCTTAAACCAACTGTTGTGGATTTCATTGACTGATGAGGCTATGTTTCGGTCTGACCACCACAACAACTGGCTCTTTTCTAACCTGATGCATCCTATGTCAGTCAGCTACTTTTACCATTGTCGAGGAAGGCGATCGATGGCTAGGCATGCATGCATCACAGATTTCCTAACTATCCATCTTGTCGATTGATTTCCCCTCCTCCTTACCTATCAATCGGTTCTTGAAAGTCGACTTTTGAAGGACCTTGACTTTAGCTATGAAACTTCAACTATGCCAATAATAATAATTATTATTATAATTATCATTAATTAATTAAACAGCTTACAAACAATAGCATTATAAAACCAGCAGCAAAGTAGGATGACCATGACATTTGAGCAGCGACAAGACGATAATGCTGTCCATTCATTACATTCACCACATAGCCTTTTAGACCTTCAGTAGCAGACAGATATTTTATACTTCCAATTAGAAGATCTTCATAGCCCAAAAATTCATCCATAAGAAATCGACTGACAACACCACCGAAACAAGGATTACTTTGAGGATCTATCAATGAATGAGGAGACGAGAGAAGAAAAAGAAAAGGTGTGTTCAGCTACTGTGAAATAAATACTCCTCTATCTACTTTACAAGTGTTTAGAAAAGAATGAAATGGACACAGTTTTCCCACTGAGGGGCTTTGAATTCTATATTAATTTTCGCAAGTTGGCTGTACAGTAGTCGTATTTATATTTACCAAAAATGTATAGTAGTAATTGACATAATTGATATAATTACTCAGAAGTGGCTTTAGAGGTAAAAATAAAAGTTGTAAACTACGTAATACTGAACAACGGCACAAAGGAAGAAAGCGTCAGAAATTTGATAAGGTTAAAAATGTTATTGAGTAGTGAGAAGAAAGGTATTAGTTGAGTGTTCATTTATAACAAGTGTGAAGAGGGTGTGAAAATGTACAAAATGAACATATGAGAGTGGTAATAGTGAATTAATTATTAAAGTAAAAGCAAATTAAAAGTAAAATTGAAAATAAGAAATAAAAAAATAGAATTTTTTACAGGGAACGACAAGTGAAGAGGTTAAGAATATGGTCAAATAAGAGACTGGACAAACTTTTTCTGTATACAGAGTTCGGGGGCTGTATTGATGAATTTTCAACGCCTCCACCATACACAAATGTCGAAACCCAACGTCATTTGTACCATTTGACCTCACCTTGTAGATGATTTTCAAAGACGACTCTGGTAGAGCTACACGGCTTGAGTTCGCCAATTGCTCGACAATAGAGCTAGTCACCAAGTGTCTTGCATTGTTCTTTTGCTAACCATGCCAGACAATGTGTTTGGAAAGTGTGCGGCCGCTTTGCGCAACCAATGTAAGTAGCTCCATACGAGCATATAAACATACATTGAAGTGGTCCATTGAAAGCGGCAGTTTATCCTTTACACACCTATTGATCATTTGTCGGCTGTATAAATCCGTCTGGGTTCTTCCAGGCTTTTACCTTAACTTCGAGTTTTTTTCGATGAATCTTGGATGATATCCATTTTTCATGAGGACTCGTTTGAGTTGCCACAATTCCCCCTCGATTGTATCACTGGCAGGCACATATCCTTCTTATTCTTGAGGATAAGGAGTGGATCAGATTTCTCTTTTTCCTCAAAGAGAGCTAACTATGAAAGTTCGTGTATTGACCATTTCATGTTGGTTTCTTGTAGATCAATCTTTAAAGAGAACTGTCAGAGCTCCTTTTCAGCAAAACATCCAAAAAATAGAATTCCGAGTTCATCTCTAATTCCGACGTGAATTCGATGGCATGGTGGCAGTTAACTTTGGTGCACATGAAAACTATCGAAAGTGGGTGTAAAATACTATTCTCTAAATTTGATAGGAAGCGGTCTGCAAGTAAAGGACTGCATGGCGACCCCATTGCCACTTAATCTCTATGCCTTTCAAGCAAGTTGTTGAACTTGAACTGGACAATAAAAGTGCACCTGAATATAGCAGTTCCTTCAAGTAGTCGATCGGAACGCCCACGTCTACATTATTATCTTCTAGGAATTTGCATATAAAGCAAATAGTTTCAGTGAGAGGAACATTGGTGAAAGGGGACGTAACACCCATGGATATCATTTTCTTCCGGCATAATTTAGAATCACTTATTGTAAGTCGACCAATTAGCATGTACGCTCAGTCACTGTGAAATACTTTTTTTTAATTCCGATACGTTTTGAGTGTGGAACATAGGGCGGCTTCAAGTTAAAGGCTTGATGTTTCGGTATCAGTGGTGTTTACTTTGACGGGATGGGCTTGCTAGCCCCATGCCCAGTCTTATTACTGGCTTACCGAAGTATAGGAGTGCGTCGGCCACGGGTCAAACCCTGGACAACATGGGGCAGGTTGGCGGCGAACATCCTACCGCTATTATTATTTAAAGAGAAGTCAAGCTAAACAAGTTTAGACAAAAGGAAGAGGACACAGTTTTCCTATTTATATTTTATTATGCTGCACATACGCTTAATTTAAGTGAACACTTCGTTTTTCAGACAAAACAGAATAACAATTATTACTATTCTCTTGGGTTCCGAGTGGGACATAAGGCTGGCTTCAACAACACATATCCACTTTGTCCTACCTTCTGCAGTCCTCTTCAGTTTGGAACATGGTTTCCCACAATCCCTTATCTACTCTTCATATGATCTCCTTCTGTCACCCTCACGCCGACGACCCACTCGTCGCTTCCCATTTGGATTCCACTCGAAAGATGAAAGGCGCGTGATGTCATTCGACGGTCTCCTCAATGTATGCCCGACCAGTTCATCTCAATTTCCTCCTAAATATTTGTTGACTGATCGGCTCTCGCCTGTTGGTTTGTTCCACTACTGAGTTTCTTGTTACTAATTCTTTCTGGCCCGCCAGCTGGCCATTTGATCTTCAGTATGGAGCCAGCCGAGAAAACTCGCAGCTGTTGATAAAACTCTGCAACTGGCTGTTGGAAATCCTTATCGTGACACACATGCAGTGCAAGTTTCTGACTCGTATAGAAGCACTGACTGACCGACTTGACATTGGTGTTGAACAGAATCCGAATCTTGTTCCTTCTGCTGGGACGGAGTGAAGCAGGACATCTCCAAACTGGTTTCAGATTGATGAAGGCGTATGTTGCTTGTCTTTCCGATTCTGACTGGCTAGCTGGCTGGCTGGCTGACTTTGACATCTTCATCCGTTCCGAACGCCTGTAGTTGAAACAATGCTGGCTGCCTAGATAAGTGAAGGAAGTCACCTCTGTTAAATCTCTCCTGTTGATGGTGACTGGTGTTGTTTCTTGTCACTGCTTGTTGGTCATCTTCATCACCTCCGTCTACTCCTTCTCTATGTCCACCAGCAGTCCTGACTTCTCTACCATCCTTTTAGCCACTTTTTTGATTTTCGCCTGTAGGTCCTCGAGTTTGTGTGACATTAAACATATGTCACTTGTGAAATCCAGATCTTCTAGAGTCTCATCGGTCAGTCCAGAGTATTCCTTCCTGTCTTCTCACTGACTCACTCACTCCCAACGCACAGTCTGACGCATAATTCATAGTCCACCACAATTAAGAATATCATCAGTGATAACAGGTAGCCTTGTATTATGCACTTCGAAGGATTTGCTGAGTTTTCCGTTGTGGATCACCTGACTGATACATGGCATTGTCATAGAGCCAGCCAGCTGTTGAATGAGGTTGATAAAGACTTGGGTACTGCACGCCGTAGTGTTGAAGTAGTTTCCAAATTACTTCTCGGTTAACGCTGTCGAAGGCCTTTTTGAAGTCGATGAAGTTGAGGTAGAGATAGATCTGACTGCCACTTTATAATAATAATAATAATCAGTAATTTTCAAGAGTACGTTTGCAAGATTTATATTTTTTGGAGTTTGACCACGGATGGATTGATATCAGTTAGAGAAGCATTGAAAATCAGCTGCGGAATGCCGCCGGACAGTTTCGTCAGCCTAGTTTGGAGATCATCAGCAGTACGCATCCATTGGGGGTTCGAACCCAGGAGCTTCCAGTTACAAGGGGAAAAACAAATCAAATCCTAACAAATCAACTCTTGAAAATTAATCTGATGCCCGCTAATGACAACTAGCTACAGAACAGAGTTCCTCGGAGTTCTTAGTGAGAAGTAGTGACCAGTGAGGTCCATCTAGTCAAGTGTGAGGATGGGTTTCTCGCCAATGACACTGGTTGGTGCCAGTCACGTTAAATTTGTCACAAATTGATAGAAGTTAGAATTCATGCACTGGTCATTGAATCGGGTCACAGTAAGTGGCTGAATGGTCCACGAGTTTGCCTTGTAACCGGAAAGTCCTGGGTTAAAACCCTGACTATGATGGGTGCGTACTGCCGATGATTCCCAAACTGGGGGTCGATGAAACAGCTGTCTGCAGTACACCCCCCACCTAACTGGTTTTCAGTGGTTCTATATCTGTGAGTTATGAATCTGTGGTTAAAGTCGAAAAATGATAATAATGAAGGAAATAAACTTACCAAGGACGACCAATTTCACTGTTATGTTAAACTGTTTACGCGCCTGTGGTGAAAGACGGAGAAAGCCATATTCTAAAGCATATTCAATTATATAGCTGTCGTCGTCTGTACGTGTTGCTGCTAAATAAAATAAACATACAGGATTGGAAAAATTTAAATGACTGCTATAGAAGTCAAGTCAAAAGAGATGTAAGTTCATTGTTCAGAAAAAAAAGAATTAGAAGACATGGAGCCATTATTGATTAAACTCTATCTGAGATATTTAAAATAAGCTACAACAGTGTTGTCGCACAGCATCTTTGTATAAGATCCCAGCTAATCCAATATATGAAAAAAGCTCTGGCATACTTCGGGTAATAGAGTTGTTTTCTTTTAATTCCTTCACGTTCCCAGTGTGGAACATAGGGCGTCTTCAAGTTAGAGGCTTGAAGTTTCGGTATCAGTGTTATACACTTTTACGGGATGGGCATGCTAGCCCCTTGCCCAACCTTCCCTGCTTACCAGTCTTATTACCGGCTTAGAGAGGTAAAGAAGTGTGCCGGCCGGAGATCGAACCCCGGACCACATGGGGGTGGTCGACGAGCATTCTACCGCTGTGCCAACGACGCACATATATATATAAGGCTTGGTACACACCAGTAGAAGAGAGAAGAAGAAGCAGAAAAAATAAATAATATATAGGCTGTTCTCCTAGAATAAATAAAAGGGTGTCAAGAAAAGAAGTTTCAAAATATTAATATATTAATATTAATATGTAGATAAGAAAGACAATCAGAAAATAAGGCATGGCTTAAGCATAAAACTTGGGCACTGTTGTGGTGCTTCAGCATAATTCCATTATGGATAAAAATTTTATTTTGATAAAGTGTCACACACACAGTGTGTGTGTGTTTGTTATACAGTAATATTTACTGATGACGACCGCACGCTTCCAGGACAATTGTTTATCATTGCTACTACTCATAATCACAATCATATCAAAGCACTATTCACACACCACTCACTTTCTTGCTTCGTTTATATACATGAGTAAACATTGATGATTAGACAACATTTGATTGAATAAAATCAATTAATATTAGATGATAAAGCACATTCGGAAATAATAATAATTATTATTATATTAGTATTAACAATAAAATACAGTAGGATGAGAAATAACTCACCCAGGGACAAGCTCTGCAGACTAAAGGATCTGGTGGACTCAATTAAACAAAATAATATAATTTACAGAATACCTTGCAATGACTGTGAGTTAGGTCAACCACATAGGTCAAACAGACCGGTAGATCGCGGGTAGTCAAATTGGTTGTCAGAACATAACAATTTAGCTAAAGTTAGAATGATTGACCTGGTGAAGATAAGTAATTTAGAAAAAAGCTCAGCACAACATTGCACTGCATGCATTAACACAACCACATAACAAGGTGGGTGGGACAGAGTCAAAATTCTAAAAAGTAATGTAGTTAGGTGGGTGTAAAGGGAGATGGTCGGTGGTATAGCGGTTAGGACGCTCGCCGACCATGCACATGGTCCGGGGTTCGATCCCCGGCCGACGCATTCCTTTACCTCGCCAAGCCAGAAATAATGCTGGTAAAGAGGAAAGGTTGGGCATGAGGCTAGCAACCCCGTCCTGTAAAATAAACACTGCCACAGAAACTTCAAGCCACCAGCTTAAAGCCCTATGTTCCACTGGGAACGTGAAGGAAAAAAAGAGAGAGATGGATTACTGAATCCGGGTTCATCGGGTCTACACACCTATTACAACACAACACAACACATGCAATATAAGTGACTCATCATCATCGCTAGCTAATACCAGAGATATGCAAGATATTACCACCAGTCAGTCAGTCAGTCAAATCAGAGGAGGATAATAAATAATCTTAAAATTCTGTTTTGATTCAACTCACATACATTATAACATTCTAACAAGTTACTTATTTTTTACTATAAAAACACCTTATTTCTCACCTCATCTTGTTTATTGATAACATTCATATTATTACTATTATTATTATTTTCGAATGTTCTTTATCTCATATTGTTGATTTTAATCAGTCAAATGTTGTCTAATCATCATCAATTTTTACGCATGTATATAAATGAAGCAAGAAAGTGAGTAGTGTGATGGGTAGCGCTCTGATATGATTACGTGAGTGGCAATGATAAATTGTGCTTGAAGCACGTGGTCATCAGTAAATATTACTGTGTCACAAACACTGTGTGACACTTTATCAAAATGAAACATTTTACCCATAATGGAATGAGTAATGCCGTATAAGCACATTTGTTTGTTAGTTAAAACGCGAATATGTATAAGTATGTTAAGCCAATATACTAATGGAGAAGTAATAGGAGCGGATATAGCAACTGATTGAGCAGTTGTAGGACCAAAACACGAAATACATATATGAAATGCTGAAGCCGAAGACAAGAAGTTATGTGCAATACAACTTATTTTAAGATATGAAATGCCTAAACACTATTTGCACGAACTATGCATTGACTGCAACAATCAATCACTGTGCAAAGTAAAACATTAAAAAAAAAGTGATTTGAACAAAAAGATTTGTTTGAAGGATTTCAGGAAGTCTACGCCTCCCTACGTGGCTGGCTAACTGGCTTAAACCAACTGTTGAGGATTTCATTGACTGATGAGGCTATGTTTCGGTCTGACCACCACAACAACTGGCTCTTTTCTAACCTGATGCACCCGATTTCAGTCAGCTACTATTACCCATTGTCGAGGAAGGCGATCGATGGCTAGGCATGCATGCGTAGCACATGCCCCAACCATCCCTCTCAATCGATGCAACTTCACAGCCTCGTCTATTGACTTCCCCACCCCACTCCTCCTTACCTGACACTCGAACAAAGCCTAACCTCAATATTACTCACCCTATTATACCACCACTTCATATACAGCCGATAGATAGAATATGGAGGTATGGAGGTGGTCTACCTTCATATTCTTAACCACGTAAGTGAAACTGACTAGATGGGGAAAAAACACCAAACTCATTAAAACATCACTACATTATGTAAATGTTTATAGACAAAAATGATGTTTCCTTACCAGAACTTGGTGAAGTGTATACACGCGTTAGAATGTCACGGAAAAACTGGTGAACAGACACAAAGACATCAACAACTATACGTTTAAAAATGGATAAAAATCGGCCAATTTTAATCTTAAATGAATGAATCCTATGATTGTATGAAGTCACAGGACCTATTGACGACGATGACGACCAATCATTTTCACTGTCTTCATCAATATATATCTGGTCGACAATATAATTGACATCTTTTTTAATATGCGTAAAGGCAAGCGATGGAAATGTCAGAATAGCATGCCAAAAATTCTGTATCTCATGAAGTAAATTTTTTCCACCAAAAGATATAACAGAATGCTGAGAATTTTTTAGTATAGGAACCATCAGCATGGAATTATCTGAATGCTTATCAGCATCGCCATCATCAGCATCAGCAGCAGCATCATGCGTTGGAAACTGTTCACTATCCACTTCTAAAGTATACTCAGTATCAGTGCCGTAAAATTCTTTGGCATAAGAGTCTGCCAATGAATAGGATGGATCTGGAGATGGAATAACTTCAATGCGTAATATACCATATCGAAGCCAAGACCAAGACGGTTTAGATGTACTATTTTCTGAAAAGGGAGTTGTATTCGTTGTCTTCTCCGATTTGATTGGTGAATCTGATTCAGACTTGTGTACACTGCTGAATTCATTACGTAAACTATCCAAACATGTTATAGGTGATTTGACAAAAGTAATATGTAAGTGTATGAAAATGACAAGGACGAAAACAGCCTGCGAAAAAAGAAAAGAAAAAAAAACAACAAGGCGGAAAGCAATTATTATAGACGGAAGCAGAATATGACTAACCATTGAATTATCTTCAAAAATATCAATATGTCTCTTTTTCATGTAGGGATTTTGTTTGATTGATTGGAGGATTTCATCATGAGCTGACATCATGAATTGGCAGAAGTTAGAATTCATAGGCTGGTTGGCTGGCCATTGGATTGGGTCCCAGTGAGTGGCTTCTTAATGCCTTGTAACCAGAAAGTCCTGGATTCGAACCGCAGTCGGATTGTTGCGTGCTGCTGAAGAACCAGTCCCAAGCACTAGGACGGAGGGAACAGTTGTCTGGCAGTACTAACTGCAGGTTTTTCAATGGCTGTCTAACCAACCGCTGTCAGTTCCTGACGATATCAATATGTGACTTACAAGCAGTTATTAAGTTTCTAACATACTAGTCATAACGCATTTACTTGAAACAAACCTTTCCTATATCACAGCTAATGATACTATCGTATTGCCCATGCTAAATTAGGCAAGGTAGGATTCGACAGAGAGCGACTGATTAATATTCCAATAACATTATTTTATGTCGACAACGTAAACTACATCTGGATTTCAGGAAAAGAACACTTCTAACTCAGCAACGATTGACTGAAAAATGTTAATTTCAGTTTTGGTTGCTTCTTATCAATCTGTATCCATATAATACTTATAAATCCTGTCCGAAGCACACACACCACAGCATCACTTTTAACTGCATCGATCCACCAATGTCCATGAGCTTTCATTTCCCACCCACATGATCTGCAAATCATCCCCGGCCGTAAAACTTGGCGCTTCCTACTACGGTTTCAATCGGGGAGGCGGAGGGGAGGGCGGTATGCGGTGCCACTCAGCCATCTCTTCAGTGTATATCTAATCCATCCGCATTTCCTTCTGGACTTGTTGAATAATAGGTTGTTGGTTGATTCGTTGACTTCCAGAGTGTGACTTGTTGCTAATCTGTTCTGATCAGCAGCCACCCTGTCTCCAGTATCGACTGAGGGTAAGCTGTTAGTGAAGGTTTCGGTGATCGTTGGAAACGCTTATACGGTGACACACGTACTTAAATCCTCTGAATCATACAGAAGTACCAATTTGACATTCGTGCTATAAAATTCGAACTTTAACTTTTTTTAAACCCAGTAGTAGACGTCCACACCACACCAACTTTAGAATACTGTGAATGCGTATTCTTCTTTCTCCATCTTGACTAGCATTGTGAAAATGTCATTTGCGCACTGATGCTGCCCAGCAGTTAGGTAAGGGTGGAAAAACTTTCTTCAAAAATACTTTAATTGACCGTGATTGGTCGATGCGTCAGACAGGTATCTTCATCATCACCTTTGTCATCTCTCTGTGGTCTTATCAAGTCTCTTCCAACTTATTGATTTACGTGTGTATATGTCTCTTCGAGTATTTATGCGTGACATGAAACAAATCACATTCACACTCACGAGATATACATATCTTCTAGAGCATTTTATTCGGTTAAGTGTATTCTCATCCTCGCATATCCCAGAGCTTGGCACACGCCACACAATCAATGTCCGCTACAACCTCAGGTAGAGATTCATCAGTAACGTCGGACAGTGCCTTGTCTTTACTTGCATTAATGGCAGAGCGGTTAGGACGCCCGCCGACCACCATGCGCATATAGTGGAACAAAGCAGCAGGCGAGAGCCGATCAGTCAACAAATATGTAGGAGAAAATTGAGATGAACTGGTCGGGCATACATTGAGGAGACCGTCGAATGACATCACGCGGAAGGTGGGCCATTCATCGGTCGAGTGGAATCCAAATGGGAAGCGACGATTGGGTCGTCGGCGTGAGGGTGATATGGAGGGGATCGTGTGGCAAGGGGGAGGAGATGAAAGATTATGGTCAGTCGTGGATCTAACCAGCTGAAGAGGACGGCAGAAAATAGAAGAAAGTTGAGATGTGTTGTTGAAGCCAGCCCTATGTTCCACTCGGAACCCAAGGGAACAATAATAATAATAATAATAATAATAATAAGTGCATCTCTTTAACACAAATATGCAAACTAGAACATCTTATCACGCTGTCCTAGCAATTGCTATGCTTTGATTCCTTTTCTTTTAATGAAATCTCTGTTTAGTTACTTATGACTACACCTGCATCGATATACAATCTCGTGAGTCACCACCATGAATCAATAAAACAAAAAAGTTAGAAAATAATTATTAAGATGTCAAACATCAAAGTTAGTTTGGTCTTGTTCTATCAATCAGATGTTTCGGGTAGAGTCAACAACTTTTAACCACTGAGTTTGAGTTCTCTCTCTCTCTGACTGACTAATATCTGACCATTGTATCTAATCTAAATTTTTCTCAAGAAGATACATAATGTAATATGAATCTGTACATATGTATAATGAAGCATTAAAATATTGTCTGAACAATTACCTGAACCAGAAATACGAATTCAATGAGACGACGAGCAGTCAGCGAAAACACGCTAGTATAACCAAGGGCAATTCGTCGAAAGAACACTTCCAACAGTTGGGCACGAGTATTTAGAATATTATTTCTAAAAACGACACGAGGTCTCTGCATGTATCCTAGGTCCATAGAGAATAATCATATGGGTGAAGCGAATATTGAAACGGTTTGACAACGACGGCTCTCTGCAATATAATTTTTTTTAAAGTGGGTACGTTTATCTCAAGTAAAATAATACACCCACAGAATCAATTGAAATCTCAATCACAAAAAAAATAGATCTAGTTAATTCACAATGACAATTTTTGAAATTAGGAAGTTCTTTATTTACAAAAGAGCCGACAAAGCTGACTAATTGAGTCTTCAACATAGGATTTTGTACAAAAACTCAGCACTTCAAGTTGTTACAATAGATGTAGCCCACAATTTAGACAAGGAATTCAAAAGAAATATCTTTACTGTGAATGTTATTATCATTATTGTTTCCTTTAGTTCCAGGAGGAACATAGGGCTTCAAATTCACGTCTCCATTGCGTTCAGGTTCTCTGACAACGTTTTCACCTGCATGTCTGCCCACATGCTTTCATCTCCTCTTCACATCACTTAATCCACCTCCATGCCACCCTCGCACTGATGACTAACTAACTCGCCGCATCCCTCCCATTCGGGTATCACTTGAGACAGAGAGAGCCTGGTGCGTGACGTCACTCACTTGGTGCTTTTCTTAGATTATGGCTAATCCAATCCACATCCATTTCTTCCTGAATATTTGTCGCACAATTGGATCCTGGTTCGTTCGCTCCCAATGATCCCTGTTGCCGATCTTTTCTGGTCGACCATCTGATCTTGAGCTAAGTATTGAGCGAAAACAGATGTTGATGAAGGCGTGTGGTTTGTTCAAAGTGCCTTCGTGGCGCGAAGCGGTGCCGGGTTCCTGATTCGCATGTAGTAGCACTGACTTCACATTGGAGTTAAAAATGCGAATCTTATTTTTCATGCTGGGTGTTGGTCATCTCCACACAGACTTGAGTGACGAAAGCTTGCCTCGCTTTCCCGATCCTCGCTTTCACATTCTCATTAGTTCCGTCTATCTGTAGTTGAAACAATGCTTCCCCAGGTAGGAAAAGGAGGTTGCTTCTTTCAGATTTCTCCCATTTATGCTGATTGTCAGAAATTTGAAATATACTCAAGGGAAACTAATTACACAGACAACAAAGAGAATCTATTGTTTGTTTATCATGCATTTTGATGACTGTTTCATGACTCATATGATTGGACAAAAAGTTTTAAAACGAGAGATGTCCTTTTGTATATAAATCTGTGCTATGTTGATTTTCGATTAATTTCCCTTAAGAAGTTAGGACTAGATTGCCGAATGCAGGAAACGTTGGAATTACTCATTTCAATTTCGCTGAGATTTTATAAATATAATTTTTACAAATGTCATTGTTGAGTATTGCTTTGACTAAAAAGAGTAAGAGAACGAATACACTTACGGCCAAGAACCTCGAGTAATTTATGTCTACTTTCCAGAGACAATTCTCGACGGTACAGTATGATAGAACAGAAGTAGAGTGCAGCACAAACACTCCTTGGTAAGTAGCTGAATATCACGCCACCACCACAGATGATGTGACTTTACAAGTACTGAATAAGCCTTCTGTATCCATGTTGATATTTTGTCAGCAACAAGTTTATCTCTAATGAAAATATAGTCAACACATGCAACTATTCCACTCTATAATCTTAACCTAGGAGCCAATGAAGATGAGTGTTGCAGTATACCAGTGGTTTTCAACACTTTGAGAAACTGTCCTATATAGACTCTCTCATGAATTCGAGTACTATTTTCATTAGGATAATATATTTTATCGGTGCTCTCAGGAATTGCCACAACTCTCGATAGAATCAAACGTCTCCTGCAAGCGTGTGTAGAAAAACTAATAAATTTGCGTTCCGAAATCTGTCAAACTCTTGACTACCATTTTCGCAACAGGATGTTGGCGATGTATTAAATTACGATTACTGAAGCGCTCAAGTGCTGGCTACAACAAGGATATGTAAATTGAAGCCACTGTTTTACAATAACAATGGGTAAATAACCAGTCAATCTATCGCTAAATTGTCACTGCCACAACTCTTGACTGACTGACTGACTATTTTCAACGTAGAACTTTGCAGCGATGTGCAGCAGTTCGAGTCGCCACACCACATAGCGCACAAAGTAAGAGAAGAAAGTAAAAAGAAATGCAAACAGAGATATGAGGCATAAAGAATAGTAATATCGAAGAACAAGTTTTATTAGGTATTATATGTCACAGGGAGTGGGTGCATCTGTACCAATCAGCCATCACCGAGAATGATCACTTTGAACCAGCCATATCACCAATTGTCTCCAGCCTTCATTATTTCTTACCATCCCGACCAGCCAGTGAGGAAGTCTACACCTCCCCACGTGCTTGGCTGGCTTAAAATAACTTTTGTGGATTTCATTGTGATGAAGCCATGTTTTGGTTCTACCATCACTGGCTAGCTCTTTTCCAAACTGATGCATCCACCCTATGTCAGATAACATCGCCCGTCGAGAAAGGCGATCGATGGCTAGTCATGCATGCCTACTATATGTCTTAACCATCTCAGTCAATGTAACTTCAGAGCATCGACTACTGATGTCCCCTCCCTAACTAGTACTCGACCGATGCCTCACTTCAATACTGCTCACCTCATTATACCACCATTTAACACAGGAGTTAGAACGCAGGCCCCTAAGATCAAAGACAGATAGCTATCCGGCCTTGTCATGTCTTCCACTTTTAATGGCCGGCTCTCACAGCCATAAAGGAGGATGGAGCGGAATATTGGGCAGTATACACGACCTCTGATCGATAGCCGGATATCACGTCTGCTAAATCAGAGAAGGCGTAAACCGGCGTATGCGAAACCAGCGTTCTGTATACCATAACTCCAGCAAGCAAGCGGCGTGTGAACAGAAACCTCATTAACGCTAACGGCATATCATGTTAACTGAGTCGTATCCAAATAGTAATATCTCAAAACCCTTGAGGTGACACACACTCAGCTTATCAGCTCTCCACCGAAGTCCATATTAATCGACCAACTACTTTCCAACAAGAAGTGAAGCACTTCAAATTGCTACACTCTAATTACCACACAAAGATATAGAAAACACGAATGCAAAATAAGTACAATGAACAGAGATGTACAGACGAAAGGATTGTAACATAGAAAAACATGAAAGTTTAACAGATAAAGAAAATCCCAAAATGGACGTGTGAATGCATCTGCCCCAGTGGAAACAATTTTGAGCTCTATCAGTGATAGCTCACAGTCACTCGTCCTTAGAATCCAGAGAACACCCGGAACCAGGTTGTCTACATCTTTCCACGGCGTCAAACTTCATGGATTGACTCCAGGTTTTTAGGTTGACCGTTTCTAACCTCATTTTATGTCAGCTAACATTTCCTGTCGAAGGAAGCGATGGTGTGGTATGCTCAGCACACATGCCTTAGCTAGCCATCTCAATCGACATATATGTTCACTACCTCATCGAGTGACTTCTCTCGCTTACCTAGCTCTCTCAACTCATAACTTCAATATTATCAATTAACCATGTTACACCACTTATCACGGTGTAGATAGAAAGCAAACATCTGTCTTCAACGCACTTTCATAGGCGACCTTTCAGTGAGCAGGAGTAGTAGTACCTTATGACGCTCCAAAACATGAGTTTCCTTTAAAAAATTATCTTTACAGAAAACCAACTATCAGTACAAAGTGTAAAGTTGTGCTTTCATCTTGTATGGTTAATGACGCAGCAAACCGAAACAACTGCTTTCAATAGTGTTTCACTTATTCTGTGAAAGAAACTGACTGCTTTGTTACCCTTCACACAGACATTAAATGAAACGATGTTGGATGGTTTAGGTAAAAGCAGCTACAAGACAACGGTGCTTTCATCAACTAACCGAAACAAAAAGAAAGACGAAAACCAGCACAGGTCAATGCATGTATAAATTGGAGTTGGTTGAAAATAGGTTGTGATGCGTAGATAGCAATGCATAATATATTTTTAAAACATTTATCCAACTAAACAATCCTACTAGTTCACGGATAGCCTAGATTCAAACAGGAAAGAAAAAAACCACAAAGTTTTCATCCAGGGAAGAGGTAACCAAACGTGTATCTAAGTGTGACCGTAATAACCATCCTGAGAAGACTTAGTCTCATATCCAGTAGTCAGCTGTAGAAATACTGGTGGTAAAGTCTGATAATAACCTCGAACGAAAGAGGTTAGTGAATTTCTGATGCACCGAATGTGATGGATGAAGAGCGAACAGTGATGGGCACCGAAATTCAAAGAGGTAGATAGGTCACATGGGACGACGCTTGATGTAATAACAACCAGTAGTAAGTGAAATAGTCTCCTAGAAGGACGGCGCTTTAGCTAGGTCACCGGTTAGAGGACTGCAACGATGGGGGCAAAATCCAGGCTCAGTTCAACTCGCCTATACAGTCCCTATAAATTTGGCCTGCAACTAACACCCACTTGAGTGGAATGTTGATATCAGCTCTGGAAATTTAGTGTTAACAAGGCTGTCTCTAATCTAATCTGAAAGTTAGCGAAGCAGTGGAACTGGATTCTAGAAGTGTTTTATAGTTGGTGTTGATGAATTATTAACTGGGTTAAAACTAAGATATTAGATAATATGTGGGAATCCGAGACTGCCAGGTTGGATGGGTGTATATCATTGATTATCATCCCTGTTTAAAAAGGATGGAAACGAATAATCCTGTGATAATCACAGGGGCATTAACCTGACTGATATAGTATCTAGAATTCTGGTCTCAAATAATTATGAGTAGGCTGAATGGTGCTGAGGAAGGCGAGCAAATGAAAGTCAGGCGGGATATAGGCCCGGTCAACGGTGTACTAATCATATCTTCACCTTTTGGTAGATTCCACATAGCAGATTCCGACACCTGAAATACCTCTTGACATGATAACGCCATTCCAATTTGCAAGCTATAAGGAGGAATACATCTTTTGGTGACAGGCTCTTACATTCTATCTTTCGTGCTAAGTGGTATAATATGGTGAGCAATACTGAGCCTAGGTGTGTTGTGTTAACTCGAGGGGGCTATTTAATCGATGACACTGTGAAGCTGAATCGACTGAGGTCACCACATGTTACGCATGCCAAACGATCACCTTCCTCGTCGAGTAATGTTGAATAACATGGGAAGAGTCACAGGTTGTCTAATCAAAACCTGCAGTTAATCAAGTAGGTCTGTGAGTGGTGTTTTGAACCATGAGGTGAGGTGTAGACGTTTTGACTGAGAACCTCGAGACACTAACCAATGACTGGAGACTTTTGGTGATATGGCTCAAACATCGTTTTCAATGGCTCAGATACTTCCATCCGTTCTGAACTCCTACATCCAATAGATTTTCTTTATTGTCTCTGTGTGATTAGTTTCCCTTGAGTACATCCGCAGTAAAGATAATTCCTTTGAATTCTTCCTCTACAATTCTGGGCCACATCTATTGTAGCAACTTCAATTGCTGCATGTTTGAGCAGCGATCTACTTTAGAACTCGATAATTACTGAAAATGCAAAACAGACAGCTCAGTAAAGAGGCTTTTTTAACGACTTTATTTTCCTTAGCTGCATAATCACACTTATGTACATTTACTTTCACAAAATAAGGCATTAACGAGGGAGATTAGTGGTCAGCCGTACAGTCGCCAATTCGATTAATGTCACATCTAATAGTATAAAGAATGCTAATGATCACTGCTTTTACTTACTACCCTATTTCGTAAAAAAAAATCGTAAAAATTGTATTCAGCAAAGAAATAAAATCACTGCAAAAAAGCTTATTTTCCGAACTATTTCTCTCATTATGCTTTCTTAAGCTTTGAAAATAGAAATGAATTTCACATCACCAGTTCAAATCATAGGGTCTACTACGGACGTCTTCAGAGGACACAGATTTACTTGTAACCGTACTGTAATCTATCAGAAAACGACTGATAGTGGGGATCGTATCATGTTCTAAGGTCTAACACCATCAACAGGAAAACCAACTCCCACTGAAAATGTGCGGTTAACATTTTCGGGAATAAAATGTTGACTGGCATAAGAAGCTGAGAATATTATCTGATAGGGCATTTAGTACGATGTATTCACGAAAAATAAAACTAACGCATGTAAACGGTAAATACTAGCATCCTACAAAAACACTCTTCTTGGAATTATTCGGTCATCTTATAACACGAATTGGATAACCCATTGTACAATGAGCGTCAGTGTGTGGTCGTCGTGAATGAGGACAGTTCGTTTATCTATGCAATACCTTTTCACTGCCCTCTGAATAGTGGTAATGGACAGTTAATCATGTCCGATAAGTTGGAAATCAATGGAACTGCTGTTTCTCAGTCAATACAGGGCAGTTTCTTCAGTACTTTGGGCAGCTATCGAAGCACACATAGATTGTTCATGCATTATTTCACCGTATACGGTGAATATATTCATTCTTGCAGTTGTAACAATACAACAGATACATTCTATTCACCACTTACTGCAGGAAATACATAATTTTCAGGCACTATGGAAAAAAACTACTACACAAAACCTCTAGGACAGTTATTAGACACACTATAATGGCTTTGACCGGCTTATTGGCAGATTTTCTTGTAGCGACCTCATATGATTCCTACGTATTGGTTTATGAATTAACAGGAATATCAATAGCAACCACGTCTCTAAAGGCTTCCTTGAAAAAGAAATTTTTATGAAGGTTTTGGACAGATAAACAGACGCAGAAACCCAGAGGCTGCTAGGCCAGCTGCAGACTTACAATAACTAATTCCGCCACTTGCTGTGGCACAAACTTTGAAAAGAGACGGAATTTTACATCCAATATCCAATGTCGTTTTTACGAGCTAGTATAAGCCAATTTGATTTCTTTGTGCTCGCCTCTTGATTGTGAGGTAGAGGTTCCTGATCTTCGGCAAACGTCTGCGTAGCTCGTCCCACCACTTGACTGCCGTAGCTTTGGTTGACTCCAAAAGGAGTAGTGCAGGGATTAATTATATTTGGTTTGTAGTATGAGGTGTGTTAAGACTGTTACTACTGTGAATGGAGTTGATCCTTTCACCAGTTGGTCCTTCGATATAGTCGTCAATAGAGAAGAGATAATAATAGATATAATTAGGGAAGTTATTCAGACTAACAGACAGAAAAAGAATAATATGAATAATATATATACCGGTAATAATCTAATAATAATAGGTGTAGTTAAAGCTGTCAGGAGAGTAAGACGGGAGAGAATGTGAAGAAGTAAAACGACAAGTTTAATTGTCTACCCTTGAATGGTGTACGCGATTTTAAGGGGATCGGCCATACTTACTTCTGTTGTGTTGTACACCCTAAAAGTCTACATATTAACTTTAATTCAGTTTATTCTGATCGAATTTAGTTTTATTTCTTGTTTCCATTACATTTACTCATACGAATTGTGTTCTTATGACATTACAGTATTGTATCTCCACTTTTGTTAATGTATTGGTTTTTCATCGCTGACTATATAAAAATTGTTCCTAAGGTCATATTCTAATTCTATAGTCTTAGTTCGTTTTGTAAAGTATGACTGTAAAGAGAAACCGCTGAGAAGAATTATGTGTTAATTCCCACTCGAAGAAGGCATGAAGTGTAATATGTTCAAGCGTTGGTTTCATAGCATATGTGCACACATAACTCCTGCAGCGTGCAAGCGCTGCTGCTTACCTCTGCCACACTGGTTGCCCGACTAGTGCTGCAGTAAGAATGAGTTCAGCATTAAAGAAGTCATTGCCACTCTCAGTAGGACATTATTTCTCCTTCACTGCAAAGTGCCTCCACCACAGGAGAAGAGCGACTACCACTCAGACACCGATGACGCGCCTAGCGTCATTGACAGGACGCATCTCTGTATGAAAGAAAGTGTCCTTAGGCACAGAAGTTCACCCACCACAGCTCTGATACCCATGCTGCCCCTACAAAACCTCATATGCCCTTCAGTGCTAGTAATGAAAGGGTGATAGAAAACTCAGACGCCCAGTCGCCTACTCCTGACGCGAGAAATAGGCATACCACGGATCAAAAGCCTTCATTTGAAGTCGCTCACAAACTTGCAGGTCAAGCTTCATCCACAGAGGGCGAAGGAAGTGCCAATGAATGGCTCAGTGCAGTCTCCCACAAAAAGCTAAGTAAAGATGACATAAAGGCCACACTGTCTACGAAGGACGTCGAGCAAGAAAGCAACTGCAAGCAAACCTGATGTCTCCGACGGATAGGACACAAAGTGGAAGAATCAGTGATTTTGGATCCCAGGGGCATGTATGCACATGAACTTAACCTGGTCAAGTTCCTTTCCGATAAGATACTGTCAACATCAGTATCAGGTGTGGCTATACATAGCTTGTGAAGATTTTTGACCAAAAAGGCTGACTCTACATTAAATCAGTCATACTAAACTCAGAAGAAGAGAGGAATGCTATAATAAGCATTTATCAAATTCTTAAAGCATCAAGCATATACGTCCGTGCCGAATTATGCCTAGCAGACCTCGTCAAAAGACAGTCAGAGGTCGTGAAATTAAGTGAACGGAGTGAAATTAGGGGGTTTGCGAGTTGTCAAATTCCGGAGTTTGATGATCCCGAAACCTTTGTGGATAGACCACGGGAACACCGAACTGAGTTGACAGTTTGCTGCACAAATGCCTGAAGCCTGCTGAACAGACGGACTGAGTTGAGTAATAGGACATATTCCAGAAACCCGGATATAATTACCCCCACAGGGACATGGCTCACATCACTTGTCACTGGAAAAGTAGTCAACCTGCCAAACTGCAGAGTGCCTGGGGCGGACCGACGAAACCTCAAAAGAGGTGGAGTAGTCATCCCCCTAGCCGTGTGTGGCATTGAGGCTCCCGCACACGAAAGTGGAACGTGAGGACTTCCACGCTGTGGACCTAAATGCATAGGCCAAGGTGATGACCTCGTTGATAGTAATAACAGCATTATCCCAAACAGTAATTTAGGTGCAAATATGAAATGTTCAGCATGTAGCAGTGCAGTACTACATCTAATTTTCTCGTTACATGGGCGGTAATTAAAACAGAGCACTCACATTAATACTAATTGACATTAATAATATTGTTCAATAGGAAGTGAATATAAAATTAAATCAAGTGAAAATATTAGCGACAGTGTAACAATGAGAACAAAAGACAATGCCGTTTATTGATAGTTCCTCTGTAAGTTGATAGCTTCCTGACTTACACTTTTCTCACCGCATAAAATGTGTCCCGGCCAAATAAGGTGTTCTAGAGATTTGTAAGTTGCGCTTGCGTCTGAAAGTGGAATTAACCACCTGACATTTGTCGAGAGATTAAGCTTAAAACCGTTTGACGAGAGTCACTGACTAATTTCCGATATAAAGTTATTCATTTTGGAACAGTCTTACTGAGAAGTAACTGCCGGCACAGAAACACTCAGATGGATCATTGGCACACTTAACAAAATCGGCTTCATCAGAATGGGGAAAGTAAGTCATGTAAGAAGGAGGAAAACAGAAAAGGAGAAAAAACAGCATCTTGAGTTGGGAACACCAGGTAGAGTAAGTGAAGGAGGCAGTAGAGGACTTCCCATTGTAAACAGTGTACTGCTTCCTACCAGAAAAATAGGAATTAAGCCACTTGGTAATCCAGCGCTAAGCTTGTGATGCAGCAAGCTAGCTTGCTAAAACAGGCCGAGGTAACCAGTCTAAGGCGGTTGTGTAATCTAGGAAGGCACACCGAACATATTTGGCACCTACATTTACGCTAGAGACAATATTGTGATGTAGGACCACAGTGGCATCTAAAGTACACCTACTATTCATGAAAGCAAATTTATTAGGATGGTTAGAAGCATTCATTGGAGGTCCAGGGTTAGTTGAAAGCAGCCTTTCCATCATTTTTAAAAAAGCGAAGTATACATGGCACACATCTGAATCCTAAATGCAGTGCATGCAACTTCGCAATAGAGAAGCTAGGCTCATGGACATGACATCTCGCAGTCGTCGACTTCAAAGTCTCGGCGGTTGATGTGGCTCACAGAGCCATCCTCAGACAGCACCTTTTACTATAAACTGTAGGAATCTAGCATTTCTCCAGCTGTAGTTCAGAATGTCATGAGGCCCACGCACTATGAATAACAGCACTCCCCTCCAACCTTGGACCTACTGTTCTCCCGTGGTGAGGATGTGGACCTCATACAAAATCTCTCCCTTCTAGAAAGGAGTGACCACGCTGTGCTCACTTTCAACTCTACAGCAGCAGTACCATGGAGCGAAACTCCAGGTCGACCAAGCTTTCGAAAAGCTGACATTAATTCTAACGTCTCAGCAGCGAATTCACTGAACTGGTACACAAAACCAAAGCCCCAAGTAGAAGTCTCTTGGAACCAATTTAAGCAAATTTACGCCCAGATAACCGAAGCCTTGGTCAGTTGGTCTGTCTCAAAGTGTCAGGAACACTGAGACCTTAGATAAACCGAGAGACCGGTAAATTGCTCAGACTTAAACTTAAATGCTGGAACCCGTTCATCACGATTCAGACTTATGAGACCAGAAAGATATGCAACGATTCTAGGAGCAAAGCTATTGAAGAAATCCAACGGTCAAGGAAGACGTTTTATGTGCATCGGGCCCAAATTGAAACGGTACAACTAATATATAGTCACATGATGTCTACTTTGTCTGCCAGTCTGATATGGTTTGCTTTGTGTCTGTTGATCGTTAGTCACTGATGACTCACAATCTATCTTGTGTTTCTATCAACCAAATAACAATGTGTGACCTTTCTTCCCAAGACATTGCAGCCAATCGAAATCCAGTTTGAGGCAGGAGAAACCACTTTATCCATCTTATTGTTTCATGTATGTTATTTCTTATACTATTTTACTAAACAGTTGATTGACCCTTTTCCATACATAATCATGTGACAGTTAATTTTCCTTGTTGGAAAAATGTACATATCTTTAGATGCTGACGGTATCGACGTTCGCGAGTTGTACGGATTATACTAACGCAAGATCTTATACCAACAACTTCCATAGTGTTCGTTCTTCGAGTACCAAAGATAAAGCAAAAGACCAGATTTTGTCGTCCAAAGTACGTAGTATATTTCGGGACAAAATCGCGGGTAGAGGTGAATGCTTAGCTAGCTAGTAATCGTGCACGCACGTGACACGACGGAGCACCAAATGGCGGGGATGCTTGACCGGAAGCCTTCAGCTAAACAAGTCGACTTAAACAGTGGTGGTCAGCATCCAATGTTGAGTGATGATTGCTATGGTTAATAACTTTGGGGAATTATTTACCGCTACAGCTCACTCCCCCCCTAGTGGGTTTGTGAGGGACCCTAAGACATGACCAGCCGGAAGTAGAAAAGTCTCGATGGTTCCCTGATGGGTGAAAAAAATCTTCCGAGCGGCTTGATGGAGGGCCTGCTGGTCTGTCTGCCTATGCTAATAGGGTGTCTGTACATAGCTTCCTCGATGTTGCTCGTTGGATCCCGTGCTTCGTTTGTTTCCTGTCCAGTGCCCGTTGCACCTGGAAAAGAAAACAAGAATGCTGAGAACCTTGTCAAGGAAAATGTACCAAATAAGCGTTTTTTTCAAAAAAATGACGTGCATCTACTATACAGTAAAATAATGTTAAGTTCAAAATATCGGGGGAAAAAATATACATCTAATTTAATTTTTTTATAAGTGCATGTTTAATGTACGGTTATAGGAAAAAAATCGTTTGCTTGTGTTAAGTGATGCTACATAAAAAAATTAATGTCTGAAGAGAGATAATGAGTTGGGTGAAACGCATCACTCAATTATG